CCTTACTTCAACAACTTAGATGTTAACTGTAGATCCAAGCAAGATGAAGCTGTTAATAGTTTCCATCTCCTCTCCATCCATCATGACACTGCTTATTGGTCCAGTGTTAAGAATCTTTGTTTTCTTGATATTGAGATGTAATCCATACTGAAGGCTACATTACTTGATCTTCCACAAGAAGTGCTTCAAGTCCTCCTCTCTTTCAGCAAACAAGACTAAGATATGCTAATTTCTTGCATTAATCTCTCCTTGGTTCTATAATGATCATAGATCCAGACTAAAGTTCAGTTTAAAGTAAGAAAACTGAACTGAGATCTCCCTTTCTTGCTTTGTCATATACCACTCAACAACTTTTGTTGGGTAGTTGATGGTATCCATTCACTCTTTCACAATCTTCAATCTTCTAATTGTCACATTCTTTCCTATTTTTAACTGGGCAATTAGAATATAAGCACCAGGAAGGGAAGGACTTACTTTGGCACACCTAACACAAAAAAGTTGTTGTTGGATGCAACTCTGAGTTAGAACTGACTCACAACTGACTCTCCAGTGAGTTTTCACAGGCAATAAATTACTCATCTTTTTCCTGTGAACAGCTGGCAGATTTAAACTGTGTACCTTTGGGTTGACAGCACAATTACATACCACTAAGCCACAATGTTGGTAGCATCAGGATGGATGGCGAAGAGATTGAGATTGTTCACAACTTCAGTTTGCTTGGCTCCACAGTCAACACTCTTGGCACCAGCAGCCAGGAAATAAAAAAATGTATTGCGATGGAAAAGTCTTCTGTTAGGGACCTCTCTAAAGTCCTCAAGAGTAACGGTGTCTCTTTGGAGATGAAGGTGCGCCTGATACAGGCCATGGTCTTTGCAATCACTTGTTATGCATCAGAGAGCTGGACAATGACTAGGAAGGACAGAAGGAGAATTGACGCCTTTGAGCTGTGGTGCTGGAGAAGAGTATTGAATGTACCATGAACTGCCAAGAAAACAAACAGATTCATCCTAGAGAGGGTTAAACCAAGCTACTCCTTGGAGGCAAGGATTCTGGGGCTTCGTCTGACATACTTTGGACATGTTGCAAGGAGAGACAGGTCTTTGGAGAGGGACATCATGCTGGGTAGAGTAGAGGGACAGTGCAGGAGGGGAAGAGCCTCCCTGAGGTGGATTGACTCAGTGACTGGGGTAATCGGGATGGGTGTGTCAGAGACAATGCGATTAGCACAGGATACAGCAGGGTTTAGGGCTGTTGTACATAGGGTCGCTATGAGTCGCAAACGACTCGAAGGCACACAGCAACAACAAGCCACAATAACTCAAAAAACGTTGTTGCTGATACATGCCGTTGAGTGGTGGATGTCTCATAGAGACCCTATGAACAAAAAGATCTGAATCTTACGCCATCCTCACACTTCCTGACACAGAGAAGTGCATTGCAGCAGTTACCATGTCAATCCACCTGGTTGCAGGTTTTCCACTCCTTTGCCAAGCCTCCACCCTCCCCAACATAATTTCCTTCTCCGAGGAACAGCCCCTCCTAGCAACATGTCCAAAGTATCTGACATGAAGTCTCATCATTCTTGCCTCCAAAGAGCACTCCAGGTGTACCCTCTTCAAGACATACCCGTTTGTTCTGTTGGCCATCTGTGGGAGGTTCAGTGCTCTTATCCAACAGGTACCGATTCTTTTCCTGCCATCCTTATTCATTGTCCAGCTCTAAGATGAATAGCAAGTAATTGGAAAGACCATGGTCTGAATCAGATGCACTTTAGTCCTCAAACTGACATCATTACTCCTCAATAATTGAAGGAGTCCCCAACTGCAAAATTTTCCAGCTCAATGTGTCTCCCTATTTCCTGACTGCTCGTACCAAGGATGTTAACTGTGGATCCAAGCAAGATTAAACTGTTGACCGTTTCAAGGGTGTTAATTGTGGATCCAACCAAGATTAAGCTGTTGACAGTTTCAATCTCTCCAACAATCATATTCTACCTATCGGTTCAATGGTAAGAATCTTTGTTTTCTTCACTGAGATGCAATTCATACTGAAATTTGCATTCCTTGATCCTATATTGTGCTGCTGCTCATAAAGTCTCTACAAACAGTTGCTTTCCCTCACCTAAAAATGACTTTGTACCACTAAGCCAAAAGGTGAACCTCTCTGGCAATTAGAATCCACCAGTAGTTCAATGGAGAGAGCTGGGCCTTCTCATGCGATTATAACCTCAGAAACACAAAGGAGGATGAATTGAATTGGTTCCAACCCCACGACCATGAGTTTGAATAGTTCTTTTTGTCTGTTGACAGTTAATATATTGTTCCAACTCCACCTCTCTGGTTAAGCCTGTCCCAACTCTTCTTTCCATTTTTAGCAGAACTAACAACCACCAAATACATAGTTTAGTACATACATCATTATAAATATAAAACATACATCATATTGTATCTATGTATTTGCTCACCTGTTGTTGTGAACCACTGAGTTGGAACTCCCTCATTGCAGATCCTCCAGCAGGTTTTCAGAGGCAGTTAATTGTATGGAGGAGATTATGCATTGTTCTCCTGCAGAGCAGCTGGTGGACTCAAACCATGTGCCTTTGGGATTGCAGTGCAGCAGCTTCTCCTTCTTTTTTTTTAAAAGAGGCTCAACGATGTCATTTATTGTTCTTAAGTCCTGGACCAAATTCCATCTACCACTGGGTTGTTTTACAGCTTGAAAGTCCACATACAAGGCAGACGTGAAGTAAGGAACTGCTTATGAGGTTTTCCGTCAATTCCAAAAACTAAGAAATAGTGTGAAGAGTTGGGACCTCAGAAGGCTTTTAGTACCAAATAATAGGCTCTTGTGCCCAGGAGAAAATGAATATACTTACCAGTAATGTTAATGCTCACCCATGGCTCTTCTGGGAGCATCTGAATCATTGAAGCGTCCTCCTTTGTTTCCAGCTGGGAGCTGGAGCCTGTCAGCCACGAGGACCTGATGTGGGCTGCTGTTGCCCAAGTGCAGTGCAGCTTCTTGCCACTACTCACCTACTTGTCTCTAAACTTGAGTTTCCTTGATGCAGCACGATTTCTGTTACACTATGGCAGTTACTATGATAACAATCCTGTGCTGTTGTTAGTTGCTGTCAAGTCACTTCTGACCATTACAATCCATTTATGCAGAGTAGAGGTGCTCCATAAGGTTTGCCAGGCTGCATGGCCTTTCAGATCACCAGGCCCATCCTCTGACTCAAACTATCAACCTTTTGGCTTGTAATCAAGCACTTAACCACTGGCATCATTCAGGGTCCTACAGCATAGGAAGCTCTCAAAATGTTTGATCAGTGAGTGAACACATGAAGTGGTCTAGTGGTAAGAAAATGCACTGAAGTCCCAAAGGCATGCAGCTGGAATTCATTAGATGCTCTGCAGGAAGCAGATGGGCAATCCCTTTCCCTGTAATTAACTGCTTCTGAAAACTCACTGGGTGTACATATATCTGCTTGGGTGAAGGTTATGGTTTATTTAGAAGTGGAATTGCTGCATCAAATGGTATGCACACCCATGTTTATTGCTGCTTTGTTCACAATAGTAGAGTTGGAAACAACCCAAGTGCCCATCAACAAATGAATGGATAGAGAAGCACTGGTATATTCACGCAATGGAATACTACGCTGCATTGAAAAGCAAGGAACTCATGCAATATTATTCAAAATGGGTGACCCTGGAGGACATTATGCGGACTGAAATATCTCAGTCACAAAAGGACAAATATTGCCTAGTGCTACTGTTGTAAAATGGGACTGACATCGGGGTTGAGGGAAGACTGAGAAAGGTGGGATAAATAATGTATACTGTATTAAAACAGATGAGGAAGAGAACTGTTTAAAACGGATATATGAGTAGGTATTATTGTCTTGACAGGAGTCCAGAATGAACGTTGCATAGTGGAGTGGATTTGGGGGGAGGGACTGTGTAACAATGAAGGAATTTTCCTTCACTTTTCAAAGAGAAGAGCGAATTCGGGTGGGGAGGAGTAGGCAGGGAGAAAAGTGCCACAATGAATGAATGGAAACACTAAGTCTCTGTCAACTTTCATTAAAATTAATTAGAAAAAAACCAACAAACCCAAAACAAGCAAAAAAATCTTGCTAGAGGGTCAGCTATGTGTTGGTTCCAGCTCAGTGGTCCCCAACAACAACAGAATTGTGCATGGTAGTAGTAAACTCTCATAATGTTTGATCAGTAAGTGAATATATGTGTGTGAATTATAAACTAGAAAGAAATTATTTTGTCTATGATAATACATGTTAATTAGGAACAAGTTACACAAACGCCCCCAAAATAATATTTCAAGAATCCTGCTAGGTGGGTGACAGCTATTATGCAGGCTGGTTTTGTTGATCTTTAATTCATCTTTGCAAAACATACCTTCAAAAGATAGTTGGGCTAATAAAATAAAATAAGTAGTTGTAAATCTATCAATTAGAAATTTTACAATGAAAAACTGGAGAGATTCTGGCCTCTAATAGGCTTATACTTTCAGTATACATACATACATATTTCTCATTTTTAAAAAAATGTTCTTATCTTTTATAATAAAAGAATTGTGATTTATGGATGTTTCAGTTCGTTTTCGCGTTGAGTCACTCCAGCAAAAAGAAAAGACGAAAAGAATTTCCGAAATGAACACATTCTGAAGAGGAGACACAAAGGGAAAAGTTAATAGGCTTTCCTGAAGACTCATTTCAGATATACTTCTACGCTGCCCATGCCCACACTTGAATTTGGATGGATTCATTTCTAGAACCTACAGTTTGGTGACCACTATCTGATAACATATGAAAGCCGAAGAGCTTCTCCTCCTTTGCTGAGAGCCTTCACAAACAGCTTACCTCAAGATGGGCAGAGCCTAGCAATGGAAAGCACACATGGGAGTGCTGGGAACATCAAACTGTTTTTCGAAAGGAACTGCTAAATGAAAATGTAAAACAACACATAAAGACTAGACACCTCAAGCATGTAATTGTATGTTTATTTCTCTTTTTAAAGAACACTCCTTAATGTAATTCAATATACAAACTTGGTTTCACAGAATAATCCACTATATAGCACAAAAGACAACCCAGGTTGTGTACGCATGCGTGTGCACACACATACATGCGTGCACGTGCACATGCGCGGCACCCCGTCCCTCTCTCTGCTCTTCAGGACCTACAACCAAAGGCTCTCCCACCTTCGGACTCCAACCAAAAGCCATTCTGAATGTTCTATACAGAAATATGTCCTCCTCCCACAAGTTCTTTTCCTTTAAAAAGCTTCTTTCCCCATTCCCCCTGAGGTAGCCAGGAGCAGGCCACTCTTCCCCATCTAGGGTCAAGTGGCTTCTCTCCCAAAGCTGATGCCAACCCTGTTACCGTGTTGCCTGGCTGATGGGAAGAGCTGGCGAGCACAGCAGGTCTCCAACCCCATCCCTGCTTCCACACCCCCCCCCCTTCAGAGTCCAAGCACAAGCCCTCTGTAGCAGCCTTAGCTCCAGTCACCATCTTGTGCAGCAAGAACCAAGCAGATTGTTAAGACCAGGTCTTCTCCATGGGCAGCGCACAGCACCGCCGGCCACGCCACTGGGCTGGCCAATAACCAAGCTTTTACACAGTCCCATGTGCTTTGTCACTTTAATTTTTAAAGACACTCTAGCATAGGTCTGTGGCAACCTAGTGTCCAACTGAGTTTACATAAAATTGTACCAGTGATGCACTTGTACATATTTACATGGGGTGGAATGTTTCCCATATTTTTAGGTGAGTATATAGATCAACATGTTCACATAAGACCAAATACTTTTAATATTATTTATAACTGATTTATAAAGCTTTGAAAAAACTCACAATAGCACATTGTTTACTTTAATGCTTTACGGTATTATCAGTTTAAAATCACAATCAGCACTTAAGTTATAGTCAATCCAGCAAACACTAGACAAAAAAATGTACAAGAGTTAGGAACTGACTGATACATCCTTTATCTTTTTGTTTTTTTAAACTAATGCATAAGTGCAGAATAAGATACTCTAGTTTAAATATCTTGTTTACAATATACATTTTTGTTCTAGTTACGCAACAGTAAATCCCATGCTTCACATAAAAAAGCAATCCACAACATTAAGAAAAAATGTACAATTTATGAAACAAAGTAAATAAATATTAGTATTACAGAATCAGAGCTGTACATAAAAGCTGTTCAGTTTTAATCATATAAAAATATGTTTTAGTGCAACCTCACATATATATTGATGCTGTTTTCGCTTTACATCATTTAGATCCAAGTGTCCAAAAATGGAAAGAAATTACATTTATTACAAAGCAGATACACAAATTCTAAAATATGTACAAATTACTGCTAAAAAATGCTTATAAGAATATAAGCAAAGTAAAGAAAAGGCACAAACATCTGTACAATTTTAAAAGTACCAGACCCAATAGGTTAATTTCAAATTTCGTTTTGGTCAGGTTCATGATGACTTGTTATTTTTACCTAATTCTTTTGATATAACAAAAGTATATATAAGAGCAAACTACCATTAACTTAGGACAGGCATGCTATCAACTTGATTACCTCTATTTCTAGAAAAAAGAAACCAAAACCAAAATGGGAAAATGTGTAAATGAAAGTCTCCATGCATCTTAGATCAGTGTAGTTTACTCTTTTCTGATGAAGGCTCGCTGCCTTCCTCTGTGCTTGAAGATAACTCTTTGCTGCTCTGAAAGCCCAACTGTTTGTCATCCATGCTACTCTTGCTGTAAAAGGTGGGATGAGCTAATGTGGTCTGTGATGGACCAAAAGTGTCCTTTTCACCATCATGCAAGTCAGGGTGGGGAGCTGAGGTACAGAGCTGACCGGGCTCAGGTCCACTGAAGTGTCTCGCGCTGCTGTGTGCACCCTCCAAGGGTTTCTGTTGGGGCTCCTGCACACGCACCGGCTGATCTGCCCCAAGCAGAGCGGCCTCTTCTGTGGCAATCCGGAGAGAGGCAATGGCTTTTGTACAAGTCTGGATATTTTCCTCCTGCTCCCTCTCGGTTGAATTCAGGCTGTCCTCGGAAGTGCTCTGTTTCAACAATAGCAGAGGAGAGGAGGGAGTGCTGGGTGGACCAGAGGACTGCAAGATGTGAGATCGCTTCTCAAACTGCTTGGGAACAGCATAGGGATCCTTGGTGAAGGATTCTCTCGAAGCCCATTTCTTCTCCTCAGCGCCCTCCATTGGCAGAGGCAATGTGGGTGGAGGATGTAAACCAGAAAGGGCTGGCGGCATGGCGTGAACCATTTGGATCCCACCAACTGGCACCATGGGGATAGGAGCTCGCACTTGCTGCTGAGAGTGGAGTGGAAGATGACTGAAGACGTGGTCATTAGAACCCTCAGGGGAAAGGCTGGAGCCTTGATGTTCATAAGCACCTTCTTGGTCTCCATAGAGACTGAAGTATGGAACCTGAGGTAATCCTCTTCTTAGATTCTGCACAAGGGGGATAAAAGAGAGTGCTCTAGTTGGAAGCCAGAATCCCTCAGTCTTACTTTATCCCTTTACTCCTCATTCATTCAAAACTTGAAAATACCTCATCCTTTCATTATCCTTCCTCCCCCTGCCCCCCGACTCGCTCCAGTTTTTCAAGACAAAAGAGATTTCCCCGGTATTGTCTATAATAATTGAATGAACTTGTTAGGCTATTCAAAGCTATTTTTGGTTTAGACAAGCAATGTAATAAAACATTCAATGTGCTCTCCACTAGAGTACAGACATCATTTGGGGTTTTGTTCTTTCATAAGAAAGTGTGAAAAGAAAATGGTGAATGATTACCTGAAAAAGTTTCCACTAGTAATCGACTTTTTAATTCAAAAGTAAGAGGCTCCAACTAGATACAAAAAGCATCCATGTCTTTTAGAAATACAAAGATTACCATCTGCTGATATCCTGGCAGAATTTTAATAGTTTATAACTGGATTGACAAGCCCGAATGTTGGCATTTCATTTTCATTTTCTACAGAACTGATGACAAAATGGTGGTGACGTCCTACCAACTGGTACGTCCTTTATAGGAGATGGACGATGGCCCAAAGGGATGAATTCCTGCTTAAGAAACATTTCATGCTTCAGGCCAGCTTCTCTAACTGAATCAGAAATTAAGGAGATTTCTAGCTTAGATTAATGCCAATTTTTATACGAAGACTATGGATTCAGAGTAGTTGTTGATCTTATTTCAAACAGATGCAACTCATACACAGCTATGGAGATGCCAACCAAAAATGATTATGTTTTGATTTCTCTCTTTGTATTACTATTCCCACTTAAATATCATTTTGGCTAGTAATGAATTAAAGACAACTGAAAATTCTGGGCTAAAACTCCAGATTTCATAGTATGGGTTCTGAGGAACAAAGAATTAATGGTCTATGCTTATTCGCATATCTAGACACAACCTAGAAATACACAATAATCATATTTTAATGCCTGAGATTTATTATTTTGATATATAAATATCTAAAAGGGAATGGTGGAGGTTTTTTCCCTGCCTCCATAGCTTAGGAATAAAGCTGTCAAGAGGAGAAACAAAGGTCTAATTCATTTCCAGGAGGTTTCATTCCTAAAATCCAAAGCATGCTTTTATAGCATGCTATTATTGTTGTGTACGAGTGAGTCAAACCTGACCCTCAGTGGACCCTCCAGTGGGTTTTCAGAAGCAGTAAATCACAAAGGAATTGACTGTCTATCTTTCTCCCACAGAGCAGCTGGTGGATTTGAACTGTGTACCTTTGCATGGATGACCTAGTGAAGCTGTACTGTAATTACAAAGGCTCACGGTTGGAATCCACCAGTTGCTCCATGGGACAGGATGAGCAGTCTCCTCCTGTGCGATTAACTGCCTCTGTAAATCCACCAGAGGTCAGCTATGGGTTGGTTCCAACTCGACGGTACACAACAACAACTCAACAACGTTTGCACTCACAGAATAATTCCTTACCACTAAGCCTCCAGAGCTCGTAAACTTGATTGCCCACCCACTCTGAGGAACAGTACAGCATATTCTCATTAACAGTATTAATGATGCACCCAGTTCTACTTACACTGGGAAAGTGGTTCCAGAAACTATAAACTAGGATGATTATTTAGTATTTTCCACTACTTGGCCCTTACTCGACTATGATACCTGTACTTCATTTAAGCTATAACCAACTTCCCTGAAAGCGTAGGAGAAAAAATGATATATTCAGCAACTCTCTACATCAAAAGACCCTCTTAAACTAAGAAAGACCAGGTAGAACTTTATAAAACAAGAGAGAACCAATTAAAACCACAAAAGATCCTGCAGTTCTTTCCCCTAAACTCTGGGTTAGATAAAAAGAATGCCTCTTTCATCATATACTAGCTAAAGTGAAAGAATCAATGTCTATATAACAATATTAGAAGAGAAAGACGTTACTTCTCTTTCATTATGATTATCAAGAATTCAAAGAAGATATAGTTTGGTTACTTTTGGGTTTTGATTTTGGTCGCTGTTTGGTGATGTAACATCATATACACCTAGTCAGAATGGTCATCCAGGAGAGAATTAAGTCAGTGGGCCAGCAGGAATGGGAAGGCAAACAAAGGGAATGATGATATGGTCTCTAAATTCCATACATTTTTGGACATGGACAATTTCCACTGTGTAACTAAAGGCAGTTGGTCATTTCCACACATTCTCTCTCCTCCCAAGCATCACTCTTTCACCTGTAAATGACTCTCAATATGAGTTCGTCACTTTCACATTATTCTATTTGTCTTCCGAGGTGGTTCTATAATCTGAGCTTCATCATTAGATAAACTGCCATGTAAATTCCCATAAAAAAGAATCTCACTACTGAATCACAAATGATGAATTCAGTGTGGATCATGTTAAAGGTCCCCCTACATCTATCACTGTTGCGTTTGTTAGCTGCCAGTGATACTGGCCGACTCTGCTTACCCCTAAGTACAAGAGAATGAAATACTGCCAACCGTGCCTCATCCACATGATTGGTTTAAGACTGAACCCTATGTTCCACTGGGTGTTCACAGACTGATCTTCTGAAGATCTCCAGCTTTTGTTCTAGTCCACGTTCCTCTGAAAGCTCCACTGAAGCCTGCTCAGCATCACATCAACATGCGCCCTTCTGCTGACAGACAGGTTAGGCAAGTGTACAAGACGCACTGGCCAGGAACCGAACACAGGACTCCTTCATGGAAGGAGAGAATTCTAGCATGGAATCACCACTATCTCCTCCCTCTACAGGTCCACTGTGTGCTGGCAGAGTTCTCTAGGTTTAGGGGTGAGGGAACGGGTTAATGCCTGTGAAAGACAAAAGGGAGAGGAAGCCTTTCGCAAACGTGTCTGCTCTGGGCATGGTGACAGACTGTGGCTTACTGGTAGACCTCAGCTGTGTCTTGAGAGCTGATGCTCTCCATTCTGAAGGTGTGAACAGCAGGGAGATGCTAGTTCACAGCATTGCTCACAAGAGAGTGCCAGGTTCTACCAAGGAGGGAAATCTGTGTGGTTCAGCTTGATGACGGCTCCAAGCTGATTGAAAAACTGTAGCAAAATGTCATTTTTATTTGCCTGAGTTAGTGTGATTTGCCCACATTCATGCAGATAGCAAGGGAGGGAACGGAATGCTGACTATTTCAAAAGATGCAGTCCTCATCTATCCTCTCTACTGAGGACCAGGATATACCTTCCTCTCTCTTCACTACTTATATGTCAAACTGAAGCAGAAAGAACTTTCTTTATGAAAGAGGAGGAGAAAGATCATACACTTTTAAAAAAAATTGTAATCCTAGAGGCATAAAGAGATGGCATTCAAGCACATTTTTTGAATGAAGAAAAGATTGGCTCTTGTTATATCTACCTTCAAAGCATCTGAGATCTGGACAATGAATAAGGATGACAGGAGGATCGATTCCTTTGAGTTGTGGTGTGGGAGAAGAGTATTGAATATCCCATAGAGTACCAAAAGAATGAACAGATACGTATTGGGGAAAGTGCTGGCAGGATGCTTCTTACAGGACAGGATGGTAAAGCTTCATCTCACATACTTTGGGTATGCTATTAGGAGAGGCTATTCCCTGCAAAGGGACATCATTCTTGGGAAAGAAGGGAAAGAACCTCAAGAAGATGGATTGACGAAGTGAGTCCAGCAATAAGCTCAAGTACGCTGATGGTCAGAAGGACAGGCAGGACTGGACAGGGCTTGGATCTGCTGTTCACAGGGTCACGATGAGTTGTACTGCGCTCAATGGATCCTAACAGACATCATCAATGCCAACCTAACTAGAGGACCTCAGAGCACAAGTGACGAAACAGGACAGGATCCAAATGATTATCTGCTCTCTCCCAAGCCTACCCCTCCAGCCTGAGCCAGGTCATGGTATTTATACTTTCCTAGGCCTGTGGGGCTCTAGGTCCTTCCATGCCACAATCACTGTCTTCAGTCTCTATCAAGTAATGAAATAAAGGGTTGCAAACAAAAGTTTTCTATATTAAAAAAACTGTTGATTTTAGAGTGAAGGTATCATTTTTATACTCCTCATGTGATTTATGAAGAGAAGGTGAAGCAGCTATCAAATATAGTAATTCTCATAGCATTGCCAACTATAGTTTATGTAGGCAGCAGAAATCTTGTTTAAAGACAGGAATTTTTCTCTGCCTCTCAAACAACGTGATAAAGCATACCATATCAATGCTTGAGGTGCTATGTTGCTGTGTCATGGAATACCCCAGATGTGTTCTCCCAATATATCTCAAGTACAACACAAATGGCCAGCAGGACATTTGCCAAAGAGAATTAAACTTGATAATAGACCAAAGACTCAGAACTTGGGTTTCATAAATGAGAAGGTTTAAAAACTGTTAAAAATCCAAGTGAAGGTATTTACAAAATTCCGTTTCCGACTTGTCATTGTTAGGTAGAGTTGAGTCAAGTCCGATTCATAGTGACCCTATGACAAACAGATCTGAATGTTGTCCTATCCTGTGTCGTCCTCACCATGTCAGAACAACAGATCTGAATGCTGTCCTATCCTGTGCTATCCTCTCCATCTCTGATGTACTGCCCACTGCTGCAGTCACTGTGCCAACCCATCTGTGTAAAGGTCTTCCTCGCCTTCACCATCCCTCCAGGGACTAATCAAATGCATCTCCTTTAAGCAAAAATGTCTGGGCATATGTCCAAATATTAGATGAAATTCCTTAGTCCAGTCTTTGCCCAAGTCAACTGTTGGCTTATATTTTAATGACATGTATTTGTGCCAAGGGCTAGTCTTTCTAAGTACAACTGACTGTATTGTATCTAACAAACATTAGTGTCAATGTACCTGACCAATGATGGAGCAAGAGGTTTAGTCAAGGTATGGAAACTTTCTCTGACCTTCCTGCACCATCATCCTTTTATCTGAAAGGTCTCTACTTACCTCATCAGACAAAGCATGCCATATCCTACACATAGTGGCATTTAAGCCACAACTGTACAGCTCTCTGTGCTGTCATGTATTCCATGGGTTGTCAAAAGAACACACAACTCTGTCTTGGTGAAGGTACCACCACGACACTCCTTAGAGAGAAGGATGGTGAAACTCTCTCACATACTGTGGACATGTTGTTGGAGATGTCAGTCCTTGGAAGGGTGGAGAGTCAGCAAGAGACAGAAAGATCCTCTACATGATGGATTGACACAGTGGTTGCAGCAATGGGCGTGAGTATATCGGGGTGGTGAAGATGGTGAGGATAGGGCAGGGTTCAGGCCTGCTGCTCATAGAGGGACTATGAGTTGTTGTTGGCTCAAGGGCACCTAACAACAATATGCTGCAATGACATGAACTACAAAATGCTTGTTTGCAAAGTATTTTCACCATGAAGACTAAGATGGAACCAGGCTTATGAAGAGAGTATTGGAAACAGGGAGAGTGGAATGCTGCAGAGTTGTTTTTTAAAAAATCACCTAAGTGTATGGTGCAGATTGGTGAGCGGTGAAGGAGAGGAGACTGCGGGCACCAGGCCCGTGATGTGATGTGATGATGGGGTGATATGATGTGATGTAATGTGGTGATGTGATGTGATATGGTGTGATGTGATGTGATGTGATGTGATATGATGTGACATGATGTGGTGGGATGTGATGAGATGATGGGATATGAAGATGTGATGTGATGTGTTGTGTTGTGGTGTGGTGTGGTGTGATGTGATGTGATGTGATGTGATGTGGTGTGGTACGGTGTGATGTGGTGGTGTGGTGTGGTGTAGTGTGGTGTGGTACAGTGTGATGTGGTGGTGTGGTGTGGTGTGGTGTGATGTGATGTGGTGATATGATGTGATATGGTATGATGTGATGTGATGTGATGTGATGTGATGTGATATGATGTGACGTGATGTGGTGGGATGTGATGTGATGAGATGATGGGATATGAAGATGTGATGTGGTGTGGTGTGGT